TGCAAACTTCCACCCAAATCACAATAAAAAGTTAAAACACACATACATGAAAGATATTTAAGCAATGGTATCTTAATCTTCATTTTAATTGTATGTTCACAGGGCAGCCAAGCATCTACAATCGCAGAAGGAGGAAATTTAAGTTTCTTAATCATAAATCTATTCATATTGAATTTTCTTTAATCATTCTCTCACATTTCTCCAGATTTACTTCTTTGCTATTTATTCCTTCAAAAAATTTTGGTGGTCTGGTTTCAAGTTAGTTGATGGCATAAAATCACCTCAAACTACCAATGTATTAGAAATACCATCCTTCATTTTCTTCTTTTACTTAAATGTCTCACATTTTAGACATAACATGAAAATGAAACCACCACTTTGGGTAACCACATATTAAGTTAATATCCTAGTATTTGAATTTGGTCTTTACATCACTTTCTTCTAAGACCGCTATCAAGAGACATTCAAGTACTCAAAAGCAAAACAAAAGTTTTGCTCACACATTTTCTCAGTGGGTCGAGAAGATTTCATGGCAATGCCTTTACATTAACTTGTTCTATTTATCTAGGCTCCTATCTAGATTACATGAAAACCCTACTCCAACAACAGCTAGAATTTTACTTTTGTGCACAATTCCTTAATTTGTAAAATTAATCAGTTAGGTTTCTGAACATTGGGATGCCACAAATCAAGTGGACATTAAATTCTTTTAGGATAAAGGATTTAAAAAAAAAGTTTGCTTAAATCACTATTCATTGTTTGGGTTTCTGAATAATAGAACTCTTTCATTTTCCTCCCACTAACAACTCTTAAGTGAAATTTTGTCACTATTTTCTGGGTTTGTATGCACAATAGAATGTAGAGACACCAATGGTCAACTACAGCAGTGCCTGAGCCACTGAATGGAAGGTAAGTTCAAGGTCCACACTGAAAATCTGGCCAAGGAACAGTTTGCCTTTGAAAGGTGTTTTCAATTCTGTAAGCCGCTTCTGTCACTCATTTCCTCAAGTATTCTTCCTCACAAATGTTAAGGGGAGAGTGAGGGAATGTTATAGCTCTAAGAGCAGAAGAATCAAGAGAAAGCATTCTCCAAAGTTGCAGTTAGTTGAGAATGGAATTAAAATTAAAAAATAAGATGCATTGACTCTGTTTTACATGGTGAAATCTTTCCATTCCAGTGCTATAATTTTTTCTGATAATTTTTTATAACAATTCAGGAAAATATAAATAACTCACTATACATAGACAATACATCTGACTCTACTACAAAACCATTCCAGATGTTTGGATGGTACTTAGAGTTATCATAGAAAAGGATCTTACAGAAGGATATTCAGATTTTCCTGAGCACGATTTATTCTTTAAAAATTGTCAAGCTTGGCTCCAGGGTTATGGTCCTATGATAAAGAGCCAGGCTTAGAATTGGGGAAATTCAGATCTTTATCACCAGGAAAAACGGCATCTCTGGAAGCTATAGTTAAATTATTACATGATTGTTCTTATCAGTTACAGTACAAACCTCAGCTCTATCATTTATCAAACATGTAATCATGACCAAGTAACTTAATTTTGGTGGTTCCCAATATTAAAATGGAAATAAATATTGTTGTGAGGATTCAATTAATTAACCCATGTGTGTCACTTACTTTATCTTAAAGGCAGTCAGCAAGCAGTAATTTGTAATTACTTAATTTATTAAACTATATTAAAATGCTTATACCTCTAGTACTCACCGGTGGTGAATTATTTTTACTGTTCTCAAAAACAATAGATATGAGAAATTTAATTTTTATTTATACAAAACTTAAAACTGCTTAAAACTTAAAACTTGGATACATTTTATGGAGACTTTAGAAAAGTACAAATGGAATAAACAGACACATTCATACTACTCTCTGAAAGAAAAATTAGCATATCAAAAACTAAAACAAAAACCATTATCAAAGTGCTTCTTAGTTAAGACCAGATACTACGCTAAAACTCTGCTTCCTCTCTAAATGTAAAAAATTGAAGAGGGCAAGAGGTTACCTCGGTTTTTCCTAGAAAAGCGAATTGACTATCAGCATGAGTGAACGAAATTTTAAATGCCTAAGTTTATAGAAAATAATTGTGCCCAACAAAGAAAGGTTGTGTTTCCCTTCCTCAACACTCTAATTTGTGGCTTGACCAATAGTTAGTCAAAAGAAATATCAACCCAGGCAAGCAAGAGCTGCCTGTTTCTGTTTCAGATAATGTATTTTAACCAGTGGAGTAAAGGACAAAGCAAAACCACTTAAAGTAAAGGACAGCAAACCTAACTCATTAGTTAGGTGGGGGGCGGGGGGGGGGAATACAAACTCAAAACTGAGAATTATTCAGTGCTTTACCATCATTTATTGTCCACCAGCCAGCTGAGTCAGTTTGACAAATCTCTTAACTTCTCTGGTCCCCTCAGAGGTAAAACTGTCCTGATAATCTCTGAACTCTTTGGCCCTATTAGTTTTACTTATTTACTCTGGCGGCCTAGTGGTAAGAATCTGTGCTTCAATCCTAAAGGCAATTGGTTCGAATCCACCAGCTGGTCTGCAGGTAAAGGATGGGCAATCTCCTCCCACATGATTGTTGTTGTCAGATGCTGTCCTGTCAGGTAGTACTCAGAGCAAACCTAAGAAGAACCAGTCTGAAACCTGTCCTATCCTGTGCTTTCCTCATCATCTCTGAGACAGTAGAGCCCATTGCTGAATTTACAGTGCCAATTCATCTCATTAAGGGTCTTCCTCTCCTTCACTGACCCTCCATCTTTCCAAGCATGGTGTCGCTTTACAAGGAATAGCCTTGCATAGCTACATGTCCAAAGTATGAAAGACGAAGCTTTTGTCATCCTTGCCTCCAAGGACCACTCTGGCCAAATCCTTTACAGGATATATCTGTTTGTTCTTTTGTCAGTATTCGTCTCTAGCACCACAATTCAAAGACATCAATTCTCCTCTGTCAGTCTTATTCATTGTCCAGCTCTCTGATGAATAGCAGGCAATTGAGAAGACCATGGCCTGAATTAGGTGCACCTCAGTCTTCAACTAGCATCACTGCTCTTCAGTATTTTGGAGAGGTCCCTAACTACAGACTGCCCATTGTAATAGATCCCTTATTTTTTCTGACTGCTGGTACCCAGGGTATTAATTGTTGATACAAGCAAGATGAAATCCTTGCAAGCTTCAATCTTTTCTCTATCATAATGTTGACTGTTGGGCCTCTGGTGAGGATCTTTGTCTTCTTGATGTTGAGATGTAATCCATACTGACGGACATAGTCCTTGATCTTCTTCAGCAGGTATTTCATATTCTCCTCACTTTCTACAAGCAAATTTGTGTCATCAGCATAAGGCTGGTTGTTGATGAGTCTTTGTCCAATTCTGATGCCACATTCCTCTTCACAGAGTCCAGCTTTGCGAATTATTTGCAAGCATACAGATTGAATTGGTATGGAGAAGGGATACAACCCTGACACACACCCTTTCTAATCTTAAACCAAGCAGTGTACCCTTGTCTGTTCACACAGCAGCCTCTTGGTTTACGTACAGATTTCCTATGAGCACAATTAAGTGTTCTGGAGATTCCCATTCTCTGAAGATCTGCTGGGGCATCAACTTTGGGATGATTCCAACTTGATGATACACAACAACACAGCCTTCACTTCAGCTTCTGGGGCTCAATTTTCATTTAATGTCATTTAGCATTATTATGTGTTTGAAGTTTCGGCTTCCATTTTTTATCTTTGCCTATTTCATTAGGAATCTCCCATTTTACCATTTACTGTTTTATTTGTGCTGTTGAGTCAGAATTGACTCATAGCTGACCCTTCAGTAGGTTTCCAAGCACCGCAAACTGTACAGGAAGAGATTGCCTTTTTTTTCCCAAAATGTAACTAAATAAGTAAGTAAGTAAGATTAAAGGGAAAAATAAAGATAGAATAACAAATTTGCTTAGGGGAAAAACTAATATATACAGAAAACAAGGTGGATTTGAACCACATGCCTTTGGTTTGACAGTGTATCTCTTTACCAGTTAGGATCCAGAGCTCCCTTTATTGTCATCAATAGGTGACCTGCTTCAGGCAGTTGTTCTGAACTCATTCATACTCAGCTCATTACTGTTGAGTCATCCCCTACCAAGAGTGACCTTCCACTGGGTGTCAGAGGCTATGAATATACTGGAGGAAACTGCTCATCTTTCTCCCATGGGTTTGAATAACCGGAGACTCTCAACCTGGAGGTTATAAGCATAGCTCCCTAAGGACTTTGCCACCAACCATCAATATCATCCAGAAAGCTTCTTTAAAACTGTCACTGAGGCCACACCCAGAGACCTGAGGCAGACAGGGGAAAGACTTTGCTGTGCAAGATCTCAGGTGATCTGGAGGCTAAAGGTTCAACAATCATTTCAGGAATACTGCTTTAAAGAATATGAAAAAACCTAGTTAACAAACATTGGCTCAACATGGAAACAGCCCAAATATCCAAGCACAATCTAATGGATTGAGAAACATTCACACAATGGAATACTACACAGTATGCAGGAGCAACAATTTAAAAAATTACTACATAACTTAGGAGGGACTGGAGAGTATTATGCAAAATGAACTAACCTAGTCCCATACATACAAATATAGTATAAGACCCTTATTGTAGAAATAGAAAGATAACTAGTAAAACAGGTAAGAGGAGGGGGGGAGGGAGAAAGGAACAAAGGACAGAGAATGAGCAGGGGGAATTCATAGGGTCACACAATTTGATGTGTAGAGAGAGGGGTGGGTAAAGGAATTGGGAAAGACCAAGTGTGAAAAATAATGTATATGAATTTTGTAAGCAAACCAATATAAAACAAAAATTTATTTAAACAACAAAGTGAAGATAAAAAATGCTTGGTTTAAAGTAGATGATCAATAAATATTTGTTAAATATTTTTCAAGGAAACAAACAAACCACCCACATCATCTAAAGGCAATTTAGTAATAAAATTTACCTCAATGTAACTCTGAGAACAGCCACTGTGGCTTCCCAGCTCCACATGGGTGATGTTGATCTGTATACGTTCCCCCTCTGGTTGCTCTATTATATAGACACATTGTCTGCTGTGCGTAAAAGGTCCAGTCAAGTCAGAAAGAAGCTCACCCTCAGGGTCACTGTATGTCCCTCCACAAAGCAGGTCCGCTAAGGAGAACAGAGAAGAAAAAGAAATCATACAGATGGACATCCTTCCAGCTCTCCCCATCCAAACCAATTTGAAAAATTTACACACACACACACACACACACACACACTCTACAGGCATATGCCTCTACTCATGAGATTTTACACCTGGAAAGATGTATGCTCTACCTTCTAATTCACTGTTCCATTCTATATATTGTTTTATATTCTTACTCTGTTTATTTCCAAACTGTTTCAGGCAAT